TGATGAAGTTGAGCGCGAGCTGCCCCCATCCCCGTATGCCATAACAGCCCACTTGCACGCTGTGAGAGAGGCAGAGTGAAGGGGAAGGTGTTAAACACAGGGAAAAGCTCAAGAATGAGGCTTTCCTTGACGACAGAAAGGACACACATTGTAAGGATGGGATGGATGAGCGCATGGAAGACCTAACTGAGCATTCTCAAAACAACAACTGCCACGACGGCTGGCATTAAGAATGCCAACCATACATATATATATATACGAAACAGTTTGTCACAGCCCCTCGTTTGTTGTCCTCTTCTCTCTCTCTGCCTACGGTTTTACCGGGCAGTTCTGTTTGTGACGATATATATATCGTCAAACAGAGCTGCCCGGTAAACCGTAAGCAGAGAGGGAGAAGAGGACAACAAACTAGGGGCTGTGACAAACTGTTTCGTCGGAAGAAATGAGGAACCAAACCCAAAGATCTAGAGATGAACAAGACAACAGCCCATCACAACACCTGTGTCAATCAACTCTGTGTCAATCAACATGGTGTACAACACTTAGGTCAGCCTGTGAGCCAAGAATCAACTACCCAATGCAAAGAGAATGAGATGAAGGAACAGATAAATAAACTACCCAGCATTTTGCACCCCTTCACCCCAATTCTAACCAGTAGAAGAAAATAGAATAGGATGGCAGGTAGCGTCCCAACAGGGTGGCCAACCCCATCCTCCACCTTCCCGGATGGTCAGCCAGATGACGCCCAGGATACGTGCTAAGGCAGTTCCGAGTTCAAAATTAAGAAAAACGAGAACCAACAATTCAACATGCAGAATTGGATTTCGAAATTCGTAGCAGTGACTATTTGTGGGCTGTTCTCAGGATGATGCTGGCTGCAGCTGTGGTGGGCCGCTCCTCCCTGTGACCTAGCAGATGGGGGTGCATTCTGAGGTGGGTCGCGCCGCTTTGTACCCTAGCAGTTTGGGGTGTGAGGTCAGGTCGAGGGTTGGTAATGAGGCAGGAGGGTTGAAGTAAACATTAGGTTTGGGCTCCCAAGTGGCATCGGTTAGTTAGGTTCTGGTTTTTGCAGGCTAAGGAACAATCTTGGTTACTCGTTAAATCTGTGGTTTTGTTCACTAGTCCTTCCGAGCTTAGGTACTCATAAGAGTTGTGTTTTTTTCTCATTAGCCCCTCTGAGGTTGTTTGAGGAGCAGTGGGCTCAATAGGTCAGTGGTTGACTTGTGTTTTTTTAACTTTTTTTCCAAAAAAAATCTTGAAATCTTCAGTGTTCTCAGCCGAAGCCGGGTGATGGCCCCGGTATTTCAGTGTTTTATAATTTCATATGGGACGTTGGGCCCGGTTCCCAGCATGTGCTGCTCCCCACGAATAGATTGGAGTATTTATTCCCCCCCGTCCGCCAAAAAAAACAAAAGTTACAAAACAAAAAAAAAAGGATTAAAAAAAGGGAAAGAAAGGAAAGATACCTTAAAACTACCACCCACCCATTGTGACCATCCATCAAACTAGAAGACAACGCTAGATTCCGACAACTCAGGATACCTTAAAACTACCACCCACACATTGTGACCATCCATCAAACTAGAAGGAAGACAAGGCTAGATTCTGACTGCTCAGGCCAACCATAGAGCTGGCTTGAAGTTAGGTTTATAACTTCCTATTATTTTTTTTGGGCTCATCCTAACATGCCTGGTTTTCCTGGGTGAGTACCGGACCTGGCCTTGGCCCACCTTCCTGGCCCTTGGCAGCCTGGCCAGGCGGGTATTGTACACGTGCTTACAACTCTTTTCTTTTCTGACACCTTCCATCACCCTACCAGTGGTTTCAGTCGCAGATCACTCGAGATGAAGTTACACGTTTTATCTGATCTGACTGGACCATTACCTTTTGTCCATGTCTCATTCGTAAGCACCTTTCTTAATCATTTCAGAATTGTGTGCAGCAGTCACTGACGTGACACATCTAGCATTCTGTGATTCCCTCAAGATAGGCAAACCATACTCGCTTCCCTCTGTGTACTTTCAACAGGCGTCACAAACGAGGACATGAGTGCCACGTTATCATGCTCTGCTTCCTCTTCTTCCTCTTCTTCCTCTTTCAACCCCCTTCTCTCATCCATCTGCCTTTCCTCCGCCCAGCACTCATCCCCAACACAGACTGTCAGCGACCCCCCTGTCTTCTTCTTCTTCTTCTTTCTTAATTTTTCTTCTGTCTCCTCCATCTTCGTCCCTCTGACATCTCCTTTCCTCCGCCAGCTTCTCCCTCCACCATCTTCTTCCTTCCCTTTTTCGCCCTCCCTCCCCCTTCTCTCATCCATCTCCCTTCCCTGCACTGAGCAGAGCACTCGTCTCCAAACCGAGCTGTCAGCCCGTTCGCACCACCATTCTTCTTCGTCTTCTTCCTCTTCTGCCTCTTCTTATTCTTCTTCTGTCCCCCTTCTCTCATCCATCTTCCTTCCTTCCGCCCAGAACTCAGCCTCTACCCAAACTGCCAGGCTTCCCCCCCCCCCCCCCCCCCCCCCCCCCCCCCCCCCCCCCCCCCCCCCCCCCCCCCCCCCGCCCCTCCAACTCGACTTCCCCAAGTTCCAACACAAAAAAAAAAAGGTCAATTACACGTGTTGTCCACAAGCACAGTCACACCATGCTATCAGAAAGAAATTGAAAAAAAGTTTAAAAACAAAATTCCAGGGCACTTTCCGCCCAAGCCACAATGGCTGCATGGCCCTACTCAGTGGACCTAGCGACCCAGCTTTTTTAACCACCATGTCAGGAAACGCATCGACAGTAAGCAGCAACAACATGAAGGACTTCTGCAGCTTTCAATCGACAGCAGCATGAAGGACTTCCGCAGCTTTCAATCGACAGCAGCTTTCCTCCGTCCCCTTTTCTTTTTTCATTTTTGGTTCCTTTGGTTCTCTCCACGCATTAGGAGCAGTCAAATTTGGCAACATATAAAAGGACTCTCGATGACAACCTATGTCCTCCTTCACAATCTTGGCAGAGATCCATCCCCTATCATTCAGCATTAGGCCATAAGTATACGCACCCTGATTGACCCTGAAGCAAACCGTTCCGGATTTGAGTTGCCACATCGTTGACAGAGCCCGGTCCATGAGGTATGAACACCGTTGTACTCTTTGAGCAGCCTCCGATATCCTTCATTGTGTCAAAGTATTGTGTGAGCAGCACCATATCCATGACGTCCTTCGGTGTCGCTCCAGGCACATTATGTGAAAATGCCAAAACGCTTTCCCGCAATCCCTCCACAATTGCTTGTCTTTGCCGCGCAATGCCTACACCTGACAAATACTTAGATTCTGCATCAGCCTCCGCTCTCTTCACCTGCAAGAACTTCTCTGCCTCTGCCTTCTCCCCCACTGCCATCCGCATTCTATTGGCTGCAAAAAGGGCAAACAAAAGACATTGCACAATATGAAAACTGTTTGATTTACTACTTCACACAAAGATAGTTGTGCTGTGTTAAACTGCCAGTACTGTTCCCAGATATTTCCAGAAACCGCGGTCACATGGCCGTGGGAGTGGAAGGCGATACTATGTGAGACATGGACTTCCCCCTCAGACAGCACCTTCGAAAACAACATGTATAGGATAGGAAGGAGAGCCATTATGTGGGCCATATGGAGAAAAATTGTATACATGTCATGGAAAGGGTCCGCATAACCAGGGAGGAAATGACAGATATGATTAAACAATATGTACACCAGGACCTCAGGGCACAATGGAAGAAAGTCAAAGATCAGCTGGATAGGCTTCAGACACAAAAAGATATAAGACAAAAAATTTCACAATTTTCAGGGGACTGGTTGGGCAGTGACAACGGGGGCCAGATTGCCTTCGTCAAATGGGAAGGGGGTGGCACCCCCGAAGATAACGAAGGTACTGAGGAAGGCAGCCATGCGACAATCAAAAGAGACTATCATATCTGCTTCAGAGATTGGACAACGGTGGATCCGAGGATCCGTTGCGGCCGCCCTCGGAATTTCCCGATCCCTTCCCTCCCCATCAGTTGACCATGGTGGATATGCAATGGTACGGAGTGGTGTGAGTGGGTCAGCAGTAGGCAGT